GGGGGGGGGGGGGGGGGGGGGGGGGGGGGGGGGGGGGGGGGGGGGGTTAAGACAGTCCGTTCCGTATCTCCAGTCTGGTTGGAGAGAGAGAGGAGAGAGTGGGGCAGAAGGGTGCTCGGTGACAGCATGGGAGATGTAGTGCTCGGCTATCCACGCCCAGGATTAGACGTTGGAGAGGCTGGGAGGGGTAAGGACTGCAGGTACCGACATGCAACGCGAGCTTTCTGCCGCTCAAGGGGAATATGGGGTGGGGGGGGGGATCGCGACCAAAGAGTGTAACGGTGCGCTAAACTGAAGAGGGCTTATCGGGGTAACGAAGTAATAAACTGTATTTCGTGTGACCAAATGGAGGCTCTGAGTATTACTACGCGGGTGTGTGCGTGTCAGTGGTAGTCAAGTCAATTAACAGAGTCACAGCAGCGGGTGATGGTTGCTAAACGGAATTGCCAAAATACACACACACAAAAAAAAAAAAAAAGAGAGTGGGAGAGGTTTGGGTCTGTTGCAGTGGAATTAACACGAGGAAGCAAGACTCCGGTTGCTGGAGGCTCTCCAGTTGCATGCTGTAAGCTGCAGACTGATGCAGCACACTAATGCCCCCTCTACTGATTTCTAAATGGGATTTCAAAAGCCAGAACTATGTGAGACTTGTTTCAGTAAGTTCAGCTCTTGGGTGTAGATGCCTTGGATCTGAGTGAACACCTGATCAGCTGTTTTTATACAATCTCACTTGTGTCTTTCCTCTACTGACGTGTACGATGTGAGCGGTGGAACCATTTCCACATTTGTTTGCCAGACCAACAGTGATATTAGCAATCCGTTGAGCCAATATTGTGATTCTCACATTTACCTCCAAATCATTGCTATCTTTCATTGAAAATAACAAAAAACAACAATCCAACATAACTAAAAAGAAAACTTCACCCCCTTGGATTCATGATGATTGACAGTAACGTGGGCTGACACATCACAGCTGAACCGCATGACTTTTCATGATTCTCCTGGTTTGTCCAGGCCTGGGTTTTGACGTTGTGGAGACATTTCGGTGGTGCATCATCAGTTCACTGTCATTCACGTCTTGCAGTGCAGTGTTTCGAAATCACATTTCCTGTTCTCACCAGGTCAGGTTTTAACTCGAGATTAATGCACACACACACACACACACACACACACACACACACACACACACACACAGGTTCCTACTGATGGGCTTTGAGCTTTGGATCATTTTAGTCCTTAGTTCTGACCTAACCAAAGATCACGACATGCGGTGCCAGTTCATAAAGACAATGGCCATCAAACAGGAAGGCCAACTGAAACAATCCAAACATGCTTATTGTCTAAGACAGATAAATACAAGCCAGGAAGATGAAGCCGCTCTGAGGGTAATGTGATACAATGAAACCTCTCTTTGTAATATTATATGTCCATCATTACATGATTTGTAATTGAATAAAATCTACTTTGACCTAAAACTGTTTCTATATTCACCCTTTGAACAAGTGAACGGTTCAACACACCGGGTCAGCTTTTCCTTCCATGACTTAAACGATGTAAAACAAAGACCAGAAGAATCTACGAGGACCCGAGCTCATATTCACAGTAATGAGGTGAATGACAACACATCTGCAACTTCCACTCACACACAGGCGACCATAAAGTTTCAAATCAGTCTGTTTGGGGATTTACACTTGATTCTCCCACAAAGATAACAACCACAGAATATTTAGCCCTCCTTAATGCCATGATCACATTTGGGCACGCAGGCCTACAGGTTACCCTGCTGTAATCAGGCCACTTGTCTTACCTGAGTCCTGAGAGCAGTGTAGGCCTGCTGTTTACAAGGGTATGCACTCCTGGAGGCCAACACATTTCCTACTTTTCTCAACACTTGCAGCGGTGAGGAAATAACCGTGCACGCACGCACACACACGCACACACACACACACACACACACACCGCGAGGCTGACCCCACAGAGTTTGTTTACTATACCAACGCACGATCGGTGTCGTTCCGGAGCACCACAGCGGTGAGCAGGGCAACGATCCTGTCCACCCGCCGAAAGAGCGGTACAGGCTCCGAGCCGAAACTACTTCAGCTGCCTCTCCTGTCGCGGACTGGATCGGGGTGTGTGTGTGTGTGTGTGTGTGTGTGTGAGAGAGAGAGCTTCTAACGTGCCCTTCGCCATTCGCTCAGTAATGGCTGCGTGCAAAGCAGCCAAATCGTTGACAGATGGCCAAAATGGGAAATAGGGAAAGCCAAAACGCCGATCGGTTAAAAAAAAAAAAAAAAAAAAGAAAGAAAGAAAGAAGGAGACCGCTTCGGACGACCGTGTCTACATAAAGCAGGAGTATTTCAAAGTCGGCAGCTGACACATCGCATTGTGTCTGAGCCGGGGTAACCCGGAGACCTCAACGACCGCGCGAGCTATCCCGGTAGTGACCGGCTGCTCGGGGCTTCACCAATTATAGACGAGTTTGGTTCACATGGTCCACATCGGATGTCTGAAGCTGTAGGGGGGGTTAAAAAACAAAACAACAAAAAACTTGTTATGCATGCCATTAAAAATCCCTCGAGGAGGGATCTGGTATTCCGCACATGCACTATGACAACAGCGATAGCACAGATGGAGGCACGTTGTTTATTTCGAGGGCCTGATTTTATTTTTTTTGTGTGTGTGAAGATTGTCGTCTTCAAAAGGGGGGGCATACACGCTCATCTGTCTGTGAGTCATATTGGAGATTATCGACCCTATTTAGGCCGCCATGGTTTACAGCGACGAGGATGTCCCGTGTAAGTTCGTGGTTCACCTGGTCAGTATTGGATGTCGAGGCTGGGAAGGCGGACGGGAGCGAACGCTAAGTAAAAAAAAATAAAACATCAAGCGTGTTATTCTTCCATCTTGGGTACAAGTGATGAATTATTCTACAATATACGAAGGAGAGCATGGGAGCCGATCGCAGAAACAGTGGCGGGTGATGTTCCTGTTTACCAGGTTAATGGATGGCCCGATGCGCCGTCCACATGACGGTAAATATATCTGGAATTGAAAATGCATCACTTCATGTTGCCTTTTTTAGTCACCGTGTCGGCGTTTGGACAGCCGACTGCATGCACAGCCGCCACAGCGGACTCAAGTATGTCATCTCGACACACACAACTTGGCTGTCCGTAGGCTGCATGTGACACGATCCCACATAATGCCGTGGGATAACAGCGAGACATCGCCGCAACTAGCGTGGCTCCCTCAAGACACCGAACAACTAGGAGAAAATACACCGATCCAGGTCAAAGTTTGGCAGAGTTTGACTCGCCCTCAAACAGCGTTGTGCAATGCCCCCTTTAATGCCCCCTGCTCGCCCGTAACGCCTTTGTTATTAGTAATCGCATGGTATTGCACCGTCTTACCTTGCGCTCCGAGCTGTCCGCAGCCACAAAGACTGCACACAGCGCAACAAGCGATTGTTGTCCGCACAGAGGCTTCCGTGTTGGGGCCAGGGATGTGATTTTTGAAGTAGAATGAATACAGTATGCAATTTTGGTTTGTCCTCGCGATCTTCCCTTATTGCCAGTTTTCGGTCTGCAGCAGCTGGAGATGAAAATCGCGCACCCTGGGTCCTAGCGCCGGGTAAAGCCCTACAGGTGAATAACAAACAGACTGCTGCTCGGTGGGTCTGAATCTTTAATTGCAGGGTTCTTCGCTGGAGTCGGATAAATAGTCCTTATAGGGCAGAGTTTTTTATCCACAAAAGGTTCAAAAAATATTCAGATATTCTGCTTGGAGGATTAAAAAAAAGAAGAAGAAAGGAATAATGTCTTCAAGTCCAATTACACTGAGGGAGACATCACTTTAACAATTTATTGATGGTCTGTCATCAACATTATCATGGAAACAAAGCACGAGTTTATCATGGCACAACAACTCAAATTTAAATTCAAATGGGGCCATATTTGTTAAAAAAAAAAAAGAAAGAAAGATAATATACGTGTTTAAAATCAAAATATCAGAAGGTACACCCACTGGAATATTAAAGCCAAACTTAGGCAACAGTTACCTCGATGTTTGGTATTTTATTACCATGGCTGGATTACTGAATGGGCCTGCCTGGCACAGATTCAGGGGGCCAACATGTCAGAGGGCTCAACAAAGACGGAGCATCTGTCTGAAGTGACTGTTACCAACATTTATTGTTGGAAAGTGAAAGAGCAAACTATAGGTATGTCTGGACATGTTCTTTGTTGCTGATACTGATCTGTGTCTTTCAATAGAGTATCTGTCCATACCATCAGAAATAGACAACACTCCACCTATACGTTGTAACTGGTCAAGCAGTTTACATACGTGTGATATCAATAGTCTACATCTGCTGATATTAGCTCATTGCAGATCTATCAGTATAGGCGTCTATATATATATATATATATATATATATATATATATATATATATATATCAGCCGATAAATTAAATTGAAGTACAAGAAAGCCAAAGTTATGTTTTTAAACAGCGTCACCGTTCTATAATTTCTCCATCAGAGTATAGTGACACATTTTAAATGCGCTATCACTTACATTGTCGCAAATAAATAAACATTTTTTAAAGGAATCATATCAGAAATGATTATTCATGTTGTGCATTGGCCGATAAACCATTATACGATTTTTTTTAAACTCTCAAATATCAATATCGGCCTCAAAACTCCTGTATCGATCGGGCTTCAGAAATGATATCGTGCCTTTCTGGTCAGAGCGCTTCAACACTACATGTCATCATACACATGATAGCAGAGGCTAGGTGCCACCTGCTCATCAAGATTTAATCTATAGCGCATTCACACATTTTGTGGTGTTGTGTATATTTAGTATAGTATTTTTGCAGAGGGTTGTTGGTGTGGATTTGCTGTGGCAGGAAGCTGGACATGTGTCAGACACCTTCTCTTCATTTCCTGTGTGAATGAAAGTGCAAGCTCAGTTTTCCGAGGTGGGGTGGTTGGGGGGGGGGGGGGGGGGGGTCGGAAGGCTTTAAGGTGTTTGTATCCAGGGGGGACAATTGTCTAATAATCCGTCTATGTTGTGTTGTTATGTCATTGGTGATTCATAGAATGTACGGTAAACAGATCAGAAACAGCTTGTTCTCTTGGCAACATGACAGACGACCTGAACGGGACAAATCAGATGTTCCAGAAGTAAGCTACAAATATAGAAGTTGAACAAAACACCGGAACACAAACAAGTCTAATAATCGCTGGCAGAATCAAGTTTTCTTGTATTTCTTTGTCTAATAATGTTGCAGTAATTACACACAGATCTCTTACGGAGATACTCGGGAGATACTGAGTCAGTGAACAAATCAAGGCCGCTGTTAGTGAGTCAAAGGCCCAGTTGGAGCTTGCCATGTCCCAGTGCAACAAGTTTTTGACACAGTGAACTTTCTCTCTTTAGCCTGTTGAAGCTCTTCTGCACTGTTCAGGTTGAGCACCGCTCATTGCGCCTCAAGAGACTATACTGGAGAAGTACCTGAGATGTTCCCTAAAGGTTCTGACGAAGCACCGCTGTCAGAGGCACCACAGCAAGCTGAAGACGTCTGCAGACAACCAGATACAGCACATCCTTTAGGACAGCGTCCTTTGCCATAAATGGGCATCGCTTTCATTAAAGCGGAGTTAAAAGCCACCACCCATTGAGGAGAGTGCAAGGATTCTGCAGGTTGACCTACAAGCCGTCATTTTTCCACACACCATCACTGTCGCTGAACTTGTGGTAATTTAACCCAAAACGCAACACAACATGTGTTCATTCACCCCTTGTTGCCATGCAGATAGTTTGGATGTTATGTGCCCAGCTTTTGACATGTTTGCGTCTGCCATCCCGATACAAGGAAGTGCATTTAATTTATACATTTAAAAACTCAAAAGCGACGTCTCTTTCTAGAAACAACACCGCTGTTACTCTGGATAATCTGCAGACCTGTGAGCACGTTTCATTGGGCATACTGAAGAAACAGACCCTGTGGAAGCTGTTGACAGTGAGGTAGGTCTGTGGATTATCCTGAGTAACTGGGGCACTGCAGCTGAGTTTTACAAATCATTTTCAAACTCTTTCAGCAGCACAAACAAAACTGCATTCACCGCCGTTCTATTGGAGGTGGGTTCTGAAGTGTCACAGTTGGGTATTTGAAAACACTAGCACATAAAATTAAAAAATGACCTGCATGGCAAGACGTCACTGGGGTTGATCGATGAAATGCTTTTGTGTAATTCTAGTAAACTGAAAGGCTGGTTATCATTCTTAAGTTGCTTTGTAGTAAGAGCACACAGACGGGACCAGTAATAGACACTCAGGAGCGGAGGCTGCGGAGGCTGCAGATGCTATTGATAGGAGATGGCATGTACTTTTCTGTGTCGACTGAGATAGTCCCTGCAGGCAAGCCTCTCTGCAGGGTCTACGGCGTTATTGGAATCACGAGTGTGTGCAAGAAGAGGGCCATCAAGATGGCCACCTGGCGTGTAACAGCAAGTGGTGTACCCTGTTAAACTGGGAACCCACCGCACACGAGTGTCCCACCGTAACACAAATTCTATCCCACTGACAGAGTGCACTGGTCTGCACCAAACATGGCAGGCTAGCTCACCTTCTATCCCGGGTCAGAAGGAGGCTGACGTGGGTTGACCCGTACAGATCGACCCCTCTTGCGGGCTTGAATCACGACTCTGCATCGGTCTGAATGGGGTATTAAAGGTACCCTGTGGAGTTTTCTACCACTAGTAGCACTATGGAGACATTTCTTTCCAGAGTGGGTCATGTTTTGATTGTATTGTGCATGTGCATGTGCACGAGGACGCACATACATGATTGCAAGTTTTGTGGCGCAAGAGGTCAAAGAAAACCGTTGACATCCTGTTTTTTCCCCCCACTGATTGACAACCGGGGAACGTAATGTGCAAACAAACTTACCAAGGAGCCGGCAAAGACAAGAAGAAG